TATACAATTTAGTACTGTTAAATATGTTCCTATTACTGTGCAACCACTCCAGTCAGTCAGTTTTACAAGATGGAAAGAGTCATACAGATAGCAGTAGTATTTGCTAGACAAAGTGAGTGCACACAGTAAGTCTGGTCATCTCACTTTTCACATTGTAGCTCATAGTGACTTCCACCAGCCTGTTCCTGTCACCACTGAGCAGCTACCTTACATCCCACTCACCATGGTTTGTTCTACCTGGGTCATGATATTGGGCAAACCAAAATTAAAATCAGCCCAATACCAATTCACCTTGGGTTGCATTCCTGGACCAGTGGGTGTTCTGCCTCGGAACCTCTTGGCTAACGCTGGCTACAAAAGTTGTGATCAACATCCAAAGAGGATCTTAAAAATTTTATAACCACCCAAGACTATGTTGTGCCTCAACACACTCAGAACTTTCACATGCCTCCTGTCCAACCTAGATCAGTTCCATTCCAAAACAAACTTGGACCTTTTACCAGAGGTACACTTGCAGAACCCTCTCAGTACATATGAGTAGTTTCCAGGCTCTGAAATGCCTTAGAATTTTTTTTTGTTGTTTTATTTTGTTAGGCATTTATGGTATATTTTATTTATTTTTATTTTTAATTTATTTTATACATTTAATTTATACATCTCTTAGCTTGTAAGTTGAATTCATCCAAAATGAATAAACTTCCCACCAGAGCAGGTGAGGATACAAAACACATTATCCTCAACATATTGTAATCCACTCCTGTATCCCCAAAATGCCTGCCTAGTTTCCTCCATAACTTCTTTCCTTACATTGTCCCCTTTCTCCCATCCTCCTCTGACATGGTCTCTAGTACCTATAACCATTTTCAATGTTTACATGGCCTATAATTTTTCAGTTTTCACTATGCTTTGAATCACTTTTTCTGTTGTCTTGCCTGCCATGAAATTGGAAGCTAGAAAAAATTTCTATATTTATTTTTGCCAAAATGAGTGGTTATATTATGTTGCATCTTTACACATCAAAGATAGAACACAGAAATAAACTTTTGCTAGGGCCAGCATTTGTTGTAATAGTTATGCCACTGGCCTCCCATATATTTGAATGCACTTCAAATCCCAGAGTCACAGACTTAAAACTCAAACCAGTATGTGTACATGTGTGTCCAAGATCCCAAGAGGACAATGGAGAAGAAGGGATTGTGGTGTGGCCATCCCCCCAAGGGGTAGTTTCATGCTTTCTAGCACTCTGTCTCTCTGTCTTTTCAGAGAGCACATATGCCCTATAGCAAAAGTAACCCTTAAAAAAAAAACTTGCCAAAATACGCATGTTATTTCAGTAGTTGGGAAACTCTTAGATCTTATTCATCAGCCTTCGAAAATTTTCGCTTTTTGTAGACAGATATCATTCCCACATTTTCCGATATTAATTTTAAATACTGTGACTTGCTGAATCAAAGCTGAATTTGAAAAAAAGTTCAATGTTGTTACCTTTAGAGATCAATTCATATTTCTGAATATTTCAAGGATTGATAGCACAGCATACTTTACTAAGTATTTTGACCCATTTGAGTTTACTGATGTATGGTAATCTTTTAATTCTAATAAAAAGATTTCTTCATTTTTCACATTCATTTGATTTCTGATCTGAGAGTTCTCTGATCCACAGGAAGTTGGAGCTTCTTCAAGAAGGTTTTATTACACTTCCCACATGTACAGGGTTTCTCTTCCTTGTAAGGGCTCTAATGTAAAACATGGAATGATTACTCTGAACACGCTTATTTTTCTACATCACTTCCATTTGTAGAACTTACTCCTATGTTCTCTGATAGACAATAAGGACTGACTTACATTAGATGTAAAATTTTCTGTTGGTACATTGACATTCACAGGCTTTTTTCTTTTGTGAATTCTTTAATGTGCATTGAGGGCTGACTTATAAATTAAATACTTCCTATTCTCCCTACATTCACGTAGTTTCTCTGCAGTGTGACTTTTCAGATGCTTACTAAATATAGTTTCTAGGAGAAAAAATTTATATATTCTTCACATTGGTAAAGGTTCACTTCTAAGGGAGTCCTCTGATGTACAATGAGCCCTTCCTTCCAGTAGTGAAATGTTGCCTACATTGTTTCTTTACAGAGTGAGTATTCAGATGTGTGGTAAAATGTGACTTTTGGGAAAAAGTTGTTATCACATTGTTCAGAAACATAGGGTTTCTCTTCTGTGTTGAGTTCTCTGATATACAGTGAGTGTAGACATCCAGGAGAATATTTTTCTACAATGTTCACATTCATAGGGCTTTGCTCCTGTGCGAGTTCTCTGATGCTCAGTGAGGTGTGCCTTCCGGGAGAACTTTCTTCTATATTGTTCACATTTATAGGGCTTCTTTCTTCTATGAGTTCTACTGTGCACAGTGAACTGTGACTTCCAGGAGAAGATTTTATTACATTGTTCACATTCATAGGGTGTTTCTCCTGTGTGTGTTCTCCAATGCTTAGCGAGATCTTACTCACAGGAGAGCATTTTTCTACATTGTTCACATTCATAAGGCTTCTCTCCTGTGTGAGTTCTCTGATGCTCAGTGAGGTGTGCTTTCTGGGATAACTTTCTTCTACGTTGTTCACATTCACAGGGCTTCTCTCCTGTATGAGTTTGACCATGCACAGTGAGCTGTGACTTCTGGGAAAACATTTTATTACACTGTTAACATTCATAGGGCTTCTCTCCTGTATGAGTTCTACTATGCACAGTGAGCTGTGACTTCTGGGAGAACATTTTACTACATTGTAAACATTCATACTGTTTTTCTCTTGTGTGCGTTCTCCAATGCCTAGTGAGATCTGACTTGCAGGAGAACATTTTCCTACATTGTTCACATTCATAGGGCTTCTCTCCTGTATGAGTTCTACAATGCACAGTGAGCAGCGACTTCCGGGAGAACATTTTATTACATTGTTCACATTCAAAGGGTTTCTCTCCTGTATGAATTCTACTATGCACAGTGAGTTGTGACTTCCGGGAGAACATTTTCCTACATTGTTCACATTGATATGGCTTCTCTGCTGTGTGAGTTCTCTTATGTACAGTGAGGTATCTCTTGCTGGAGAATGCTTCTCCACATAGTTTGCATTCAAAGCGTTTTTCTCCTGTGTGCGTTCTCCAATGCTTAGTGAGATTTGACTTGGAGGAGAACATTTTCCTACATTGTTCACATTCATAGATTTTTCCTACTATGTGCATTATCCAGTGCTTACTGAGATCTGACTTGCAGAAGAACGTTTTTCTACATTGATCACATTCATAGGGCTTTTCTCCTGTGTGAATTCTCTTATGTACAGTGAGGTACCCTTTGCTGGAGAATGTTTTCCCACATTGTTCACATTCAAAGGATTCTTCTCCTGTGTGAGTTCTCTGGTGCTCCGTGAGCTGTGACTTAAAGAAGAACATTTTCCTACATTGTTCACATTCATAGGGTTTTTCTCCTGTGTGCCTTCTCCAATCCTTAGTGACTTCTGACTTGCAGGAGAACATTTTCCTACATTGGTCACATTCATAGGACTTTTCTTCTGTGTGAGTTCTCAGATGCTCAGTGATATGTGACTTCTGGGAGCACATTTTCGTACATTGTTGACATTCATAGGGTTTCTTTCCTGTATAAGTTTTCCAATGTCTACTCAAGACTGATTTGGGACTGAAAGATTTTCCACATTCCCCACATTCATAGGACTTCTCTCCAGTGTGAGTTGTCTGATGCACAGAGAAGTATGACTTCTTGTAGAATATTTTTCCACATATTTCATTTTCATAGGATTTCTCATCTATTTGACTCCTCTGATGTACAATGAGGTCTGAATTCTGGGAAAACATTTTCTTCCATTGTTCACACTCATAGGGCTTCTCTCCTGTATAAGTTTTCAAATGGTCAGTGAGAGGTATGTTCAGACACAACAAATTCTTATTTTGTTTTATCTACAAATTTTTTCTCCAGTAAGAGTTGTCTCATGTATAACAACAGTTGACAGCTTTGCCCATTTATACATATCAAAAGGTTTTACTTTTCTGTAATTTTTCTGGTTATCATAATTTTTGACCTCTGGAAAAAGGATTTTTGATGTTTTTTATAGGGTGTTTCCCTTATGTGCATTCACTGATGAAATAAGATAGATTTTAATTCTGCAGTAAGAATTCCTCTTACTCTTTTTATGAATAGGAATCTTCCACTCTGTGTTTAAAATCTATTATAAAAATTATTTAATTTTTCATATTCTTTACATTTATAATGTGTATTTATGTGTGTATTACACCAAATAAGACAGACTTTTTGTAAAATGGATTCTTCCACACCTGAACTATATACTAGAAAATAAGCCGTCTTACCACATGCTTTCCCATATTTATTCTATTTACAAGCAGTCTCTCCCATATCAGTCCTCTTTGGTTGGAAAAATACAACCATTTCCATAAATTGTATTTGAGAATTTATTTTACACTGCTCATGTATATATTTTAAATATTGCTACAGATCTATAATAAGAAATATGACTCTGTCTCCTTCATATGTTACTATAGCAATTTACATTAATATTTTTAAAAGCTGATTGGATTTATTTTGTTCCTTTATGCTTCCCTTTGCTTTAGTACCTTTAACAATATTCAAAATATCTACCTGCTGTCTTCCTATAATTTTACACTGGAAGATTTCCATGTGCAATTTGTTTTCACTGTCCTTTTTTCTTTTTGTTTCTTATAATGATGGGTACTGTGTACTGTTTCCTTCCTAATGTGAACAGTTTTCTAGATCTTCTACTTGCAGAAGACAAAAGAACTTATCACTTAAGAAGAAATGTTACTTAGGAAGGATTTTTAGCCAATAAAGATACAAAATTACCCTAAATATGTCATCCCTTAGGACACTTTAAAAATATATATACCCCATTTTTTTACACTCTTCTCCCAGGAAAACATTTCTACATTTTTCTTTCCTCACCAGTACAAACATTTTGTTTTCCCCTCTCAATAAATATATATATATATATAAAGTTCAGCTTTATCAGCTGTGCAATAAAGGGGCTAATTTTTTTTTTTTAAAGAATACTTACACATTAACCCCAGAACAAAATCTCACTCCTAAGCAGCATTAAACACTATGAAACTCTGTACATTTACTATGGAAGAAGACAGTAAAACTTCAGAGAACTTCATGGGAGTTCCACTAACCCAAAAACATCAGGTTGCTGTAGGTCTCCAGCATCACATCCTTGTATAGAATCTTCTGAGCATCTTCCAGGTTCTGCCACTCCTCCCATGTAAAGTCCATAGCAACATCCTCAAATGATATAAACCCCTGTAAAAATATATATCCCTTCATCAGTTATGAGAAATAGAGCATAACATGGGAAATTTTCTTTCTCTGTATATTATCCCTTCATCAGCCCTGAGATATAGAGCATAATATGGAATATTTACTTTCTCTGTATATATATGCTTGTTCCTCGGTATATTTCTGAACTCTTTGTAAAGGGAGAAAGAAATAAAGTACAAACATGCTATTTCTATGCTAACTTATTCATTGCTAAATTTATTACAAGTATTTCCTCAGAGATCTCCAAATGTTTTTGCTGCAAGGGATGAAATCATAATAAATTCTCTGCTATGTCAAGGTGTTTATTATCTCATACAAACACATCAGTATAAATACGTATCTGGAGTAATGTGTTAGATTAAGTAAGTTAGACAAAAGTTGATGGTAACCAGTTAAAAAAAAAACAGGTAGTTTATTTTTTTTCTGTATTATCAATTTGTGCTTCAAGTCAATGATGTTAAGAAAATGTATGTAAATGTTCTTATGAAAATGGAACTATAGCTGTCTTTCTATGAAAGAACAAAGTATATTCCTAATATTAATGGAAGTATATCTAGGTAAGTATTCTAGGTAAGTATATCTAGGTATACTAGGTAAGTATTCCTGGTCTATGATGAAAGACAAGGGTAGTAAATGTGTTCAAGGAACTGATTACACAGTGATTTTATATTTAAATACTTAATCTAATTCCAATAAAATATTTTCTGTGCATACTGTTAATTACTCATAAGTTGAAGTATATTTACAAGTATCTTTATACTACAGTAGTGCATTCAAAAATATTGATAGAGTCCAAATAAAGATGAGTATCACTTTATCATATGCTAAAACACAGAGCAAAAATAATATAAAGCCAAAAGAAGTGATACGTTATGTAACCAGAGTTGCAGTTTAATTGCTATCCACAGATTACAGACTGAGGATACTCTGAAAGATATAATAGAGTTAAAACCAAGTTGTGATGTGACCACCTATATCAGAAAAAACAGAAATAAAAAAATTGAATAATATATATATATATATATATATATATATTAGCTAAAAGTAAAATTTGGGGAAAAACTGAGCAGTAGACAGATGAATCTTGTACACATCATCTTTGAAGTTTCAGTAGCTAGTGATAGCAGGACCAGCAGTTAGTGTAATGGCTATGTCGTCACAGAACTCCCATGTAGTCGACGGCGGTTTGAGTCCCAGATCCAGGGGCTCACACTCACACTAGGAATGTGTGCGTGCATGCCCAAGATACTGATAGGCAAATAGAGAAGGAATTGTGGTGTGGCCATCCCTTCTGGGGGGTGATTTCTCACTTTCTGTCTCTGTCTCTGTCTTTCTTGCAAGCACAAGCACCCTATAGCAAAAACCTCTCAAAAAAAAAAAAAATTCAAGTGATAGCTGAAGCTATTCTAATCAATGATAGTGGACCTGGAGTCAACTGGTAGGTTTAAGAGAATTCAAGATTGGGAAAAAAAGTACAAAATCTCAACTGACTGGACCAGTGAGAAATGTATTCCTGTTGGAACATTTACTTTACAAGCTAAGTGACATATGTGATTCAATGTAAGTAAAATATCATAAAAAATAATATTTACTGATAGAGAAAGAGAATCAGACCATTTAAAACAAGAAAGTTTGTTATAAAGGGTTCAAGTGTTTCAGGGAGAATGAAGATGGAAAGTGAAAAACCATCCCCAAAAAGGAATATTCATGACAAAATTCATGTTTTTCCATTTCTCCCTTGTTTCAGGATTTAGGTTGTACAAGTATATGTGCCTACTGTGATTCTCAAGATATGGGGTTCAGGAATTAAACCATGCAATTGGCATGTGGAATCCTCCTGCCTTCATACCATATGCTGGTCTAAATTTTTACCATTCTAAAATTTTAAAAAATGACTTAGTGCTAATATATTTTATAATATTCACAGTTCTATCAAAAGAAATTCCCTAGAAAGGTATTAAAATATCCAGACCCAAGAAATACATAGGACTCCGAGTAGAATCAACCCAAGAAGATCCTCTCCAAGGCACATCATAGCCAGACTGGCAAAAACAACAGACAAAGACAAGATACTAAAGTTGGCAATAGGAAATGTCAAGTGACTTACAAAGGTCATGCCATAAGGCTAACATAGGATTTCTCAGCAGAAACAATGCAGGCAAGGAAAGAATGGGGAAGCATAGTCAAAGTGTTGAGTGAAAAACAATTTCAATCACGAATACTATACCCAGCAAAATTATCTTTCATATGGGAAAAAAGAAAAACATAAAAACATTCTCAAATAAACACAAGTTGAAGGAGTTTACCAACTCCAGACCAGCTCTTGAAGAGGTTCTAAAGGGAGTACTATACCAGGAAAACTAAAAAATCAGACAGACTGTTATAGGAAAACAAAAAGCAACCAAGAAAATGGCTCACTTAATAATAGGATCAGGTACAGAAATATCGATAATTACATTGAACGTCAATGGATTAAATTCTCCAGTTAAGAGACATAGACTGGTTGAATGGATAAGAAAGCAGAAACCCTCTATTTATTGTCTACAAGAAACTCACCTTATGGATAAAAACATACATAGACTAAAAGTAAAGGGCTGGAAAAAGATACTTCACGCAAATGGAATTCAAAAATTCTCAACAAGATACTCGCAAATCGTATTCAACAACATAAAACAAAGATAATTCATCACGATCAGGTAGGCTTTATACCAGGGATGCAAGGGTGGTTCAATATATGCAAGACCATAAATGTAATACACCACATTAACAGAAAAAAAGATAAAAACCATATGACCATCTCAATTGATGCGGAAAAAGCATTTGACAAAATACAACATACTTTTATGATTAAGACTCTTAGTAAGATTGGTATAGAAGGGTCACTTCTGAACACAATAAAAGCAGTCTATGAAAAGCCTACAGCTAACATTATACTGAATGGGGAAAAGCTGAAAGCTTTTCCTCTAAAAACAGGTACTAGGCAAGGCTGTCCACTTTCTCCGCTCTTTAACATAGTCCTGGAAGTCTTAGCTATTGCAATCA